TGGGGGGGGGGGGGGGGGGGGGGGGGGGGGGGGGGAAGAGAGGAAAAACTTTTCTTTGGTCTTTTAAATTTTATCCCTTAAGTCAGTGGTTCTCAACCTTTTTAATGCCGCGACCCCCAACCGGTCGTAAGTCGAGGACTAAACCGGTCGTAAGTCGAGGACTAAACCGGTCGTAAGTCGAGGACTACCCAACCGGTCGTAAGTCGAGGACTTTCCCTGCCCGGGAGCGCCGCGCATGCGTGGTTCCACCCCCTGCGCCGACCGAGGCGTAGCTGGCAAGCGGCAGAGACGGAGCAGGCCGACCACCAGCTGGCCCAACTCAAGGGAGGTAAGGCACCCGCCGGAAAAGGGGAAAAAAATGGCGGACAGCCTTGCTTGGCGACCCCCGTGAAATGGTCGATCGACCCCAAATGGGGTCGCGACCCATAGGTTGAGAACCGCTGCCTTAAGTGGTCTTTTCTTGAGATGTTCCCCACCTTTCCTGGATTAATCTGCATCTGTGATGGCTGGTTTATGGGTCTGGATTTCCTTGGTGATATTTCGTTTGAAAATATTTAATTGTGAGGTTTTTCTTTTCCAAAGGAAATTGTCCTCCTGTTTAGTTTTTTTTTTTTTTACTAATTCTGATTTCTTAATGTTTTATTTCGGTGCTATTGACTAGCAATCTATCAATACAAAAAAAAACATATGCTGAGCTTGAGATCCTAGAAAGTGTGCAGAGAAGAGCAAAAAAGGCAAACATAATGAATGATTAAGGGACCTAGGTATGTCTAGCCTATCGAAGAGAAGGATTAGAGATGACATGAATGTCTCCCAGTACTTGAGGGGCTGTCACAGAGAAATTGGAGTCAATTTATCCTCCAAAGCAAAAAGGCAAGACAAGAAGCAATGGATGGAAGCTCATTAAAGAGAAATGTAACCTGGAACTAAGGAAAAGTTTCCTGAAAGAACAATTAATCAGCTTGCCTCCAGAGGCTGCGGGTCATGCATTGCTAGAGGTTTTCAAGAAGAGATTGGACAACCATTCATCCAGGATGGAACAGAGTCTCCTACATTGGGTAGGGAGTTAGACCACATCCTTCCAGCCCTATGATTCTATGAAATAATATATTAGACAAAAGATAATCAGTATAATAAAGAATATCTATAGTGCAGGCCTTTTATCTGCCGATGCTTAAGCACAGAGCAAAGATGTCATGGCAATATCTTTCTTTCTGCCATGCCCCACAACATTGTCCTCATCTCATCCCTACTCATTCTTTCTGGGACTATTCACTAGTCATCATGAAGCTGGATTAAAGGACTGTAATGCCAGCCACATTAAGGACTCTGATAGAGGATAAAATGTAGGAGACAATGGCTAAGATGGGCAATGGAATGGAGAGTTATTCTCTATTTTTCCTAAGGCATTGTTAGGCAGAAGAGCTACATCTACATCTAGATTTACAACTCAAAAATGAATGCACCATAGTTCAAATGTATGCCTTTATTCTTTGTAAAATCTTTATTAAACTTTGCTTCTGCAAGGAAGCAATTCAATGATTTAATGCACATTCCTTTCTTTAGAGTACTCACCATTTT